CAGAGAACTCAACCCTCCTCCTCAATGATCATGACCAAATTCCTTGGCATGCCTTTTCATATTATTTGGTATGGATGTGAGGAGGGTAAGAGCCAATCTTAGGCAGTGTTTATAAAGTGAGTGTTCAATTACTGAAAAAAATTTTATGAAGCAGAGAGAAATTCCCAGCTTTGGAAGCAAAAGGAGCTGAATGACTTCCCCTGTGTCACAGGAGAGACTCCTGGAAAGAAACCGCAGCTTCTGGTCAGTTCATGGAGAACTAATTAGCAAGGAGGCAAAGGCTGTGCCCCATGACATCAGCAGACCATTTGCTGGGCATTCTGTTGTATCCTGGAGAGCTCTTGGAATCCCAGTGATGTCACTAGTGCTTTGCAACACTGACTGCCTTGATGTCATTTGTTCAGTGACCACAAGCTTGGCCTCTAGACATGCTTTCCAGACTCAGAGGTCTGTGTGGGAGAGGGAATGGACTGCATGGAGAGACCAGAGTGAGTCAGAAAGAAGCTGGTCCTAGTCTACCTGGAAAACATGGAAAAAATGGTCCTGTGGAAGAGGCAGTGAGTTTTGGGAAGGGGCTGGGGAGCTTTCTGGATGTGGTGGGCCTCAGGTTTCTAGAGCGAGGGCTCAAGAACTGGGAACTTCAGGGATGAAGGCATAGAGGAATTAATGGGATTTCTGTAACATGACTTTTTCACAGCCACTGGAGTCCTTTAGTTATGTGCCAGTGATAATAGGAAAAGGAGAGTAGCCTGGAAAATCTGAGGTTCTTACACTTGACATCATAGCCACTAGCAGGGCAGGAGCCCCCAAGTGCTGCTGTCTTCCAATGACCCCTGAGGTTTCTGATTTACCACCTGTTGATGGCACACAGGTTAGGAGTTCAGCCTGAGAGCTGTTAGATTCAGTGGTCCTGGACTGAGACTGTCCTGAAGAGTCAGTGAGGAAGGCTTTGTGAATCTGTTGACCATGTTTAGTCCCTGCATGGTTTTTCCACTAACATGAGACTCTGAAGCATAGAGCAAGGGACTTGGGCCTCCCTGTACTACCTAAGTGATTTTAACAGTAGCCATTATCTCCATGCATCTGAAAGCACATGCCTGATGGCTCTGCAGCCAAGGTGTATCCTCTACAGTTTGAGTAAGCCTTAAGAGGTTGTCCACTGAGTCCCCTTGTGCAGGGAAACAGAGATAAATAACTGACATCTAAGATATCCACCTCCCTACAGAGAGATGGGAAACTGACATCCATAAAGGGGGAGACTCAAGTCTGAGCTTTCAAAACCTGCCTGAGCAAAGGCTCATCTGTCAGTCACTTTCTGTGTATCCTTCAGTGTGTAAGGATTAACTGAGATGAGGTAGTGTATTGGAAAGGTGTTGTGCTTTGACTTCTAGAATTGGGTATTACTGAGATAGCTCACCTTGTCTAGCATGACTTGTCAGTGTGATATAACATCTGAAAAGACATAGTTTGCCTCACATCACTCATTTCTTCTGGTTTCCATCAAGTACACTTTTGAAGACACAGTCTAGACTTCTGGTGAATTTTCAATCCAGACCAAACATGGTGCTAGTTCTTCATTTCAGGACTGTCAGTAAATTCCAAAGTGTGAAGTGGGGCTCTGGGAAAGGTCTATGGTAAAGTACCCCTAATAACCTGTCCTCTTGTGTCCTTTGCCTGCTTCTCTCATGCTCCGATGGCTCTTGTAATTTAAGCTGGCTGTGTCACCTTTCCTAAGGGCATGTGCATTGTCACAGGTGGCTCCAATCAAAGAATTTGGCTCTTGTGTAGCTCTGGGGTTAGCACCACCGCAGTGACACACTGCATACTATCCCCATGACTATTACACATTTGATTTTCTGTGAATGCCTTTGCATATCTGTGTGTAGCCTCTCACTAGCCATTCATCTTTCCTCAAACCCCAGTGCAGGAACGGAGCCTTACACTTGTGCAAGAGTTTGCTCTTATGTCTGAGGGCTCCCTGGGGAACTCTGGTTCTTAGTATCCCCAGGCAGACATGTCACTAGTTGATGACCTTTTGGTATTTTATGAGGGCTAGAATGTATTCTGCTGATGATTCGGGATAATTCTCCTCATTGATTATGGGACTATCTTTGTTCTGACAGGACATCCAAAAATCTCCCACCACACCCACATACTGTATCAGCCTTGGGGATTCTCCACAATGTGCTTGGTTACTTCTGGAGACTGATCTTTCCTCCCCACCATCCTGACCTAATACCCTAGCAACCTTTATTTCTCATGTTATTAATTAGAGATCTGAAGAAGTGATGAGCCATTTCGCCAGATGTGTTTGGAATAGAGACTTCAAATTCCCATATATGAAGTAGTAAAAATATTCTAATGAAGCAGAGAGAGATCCCTGGCTTTGTAAAAAGGATGTACTGAAGTTCTTTCCTTATGTTTCTGGAAAGGCTCCTGAGAAGGGCAACATGGCTTTTTGTGAATTGCAGAACAGCTAGTTAGTAGGTAGGTGAGGGCTGATGGACGTGACCCTAGTAGTCCTTTCTCTGCAATTCTGTCTTATCTTGGAGAGCCCTTGATATTCTCTGTGATGTTACCAGTGTTGTGGCAACACCACATGCCTGTGGGGTATTCGTTCAGTGCCCATAGACATGTTGGTAAGACTGAGTTGGCTGCTTGAGAGAGAGAATGGAGAACATGGAGAGACCAGAGAGAGGCAGAAGGAAGCTTGCCTTTGGTCTTATTGTAGAGCCTGGAGAAATAAATGGTTTTGCAGAAGGCACAGTGAGTCCTGAGCAGGGGATTGGGAGCTTCATGGAGGAGGTGAACTTAAGCTGGGCCTTCCAGTATGGGCCTCAGCATCTGGGAGCGTCTGGGAAACAATAGGGCCATTCAGCTTCTCCGGGCTTCTTAAGAACAGACATAGATTCAAGAGTCTCTGATGGTGAGTTTAGGAGAGCCATGAATTATTCAGCCTGCAGCTGCCTTTCTGGGAACTCCTTCATTTCATTCAAACTGGCAAAGAGGGGCAGGAGGAACAGATGAACTAAGGAGCTGTCCCTCTCTGAGTAGGGTGTTGCTCCACTTCATCCTAGTGGATTCCTACAGTTTTCATGGGAATCTAACGCCAATAAGAAGAGAGGGAAACACCCCTGGCCATCTACCAGGGCCCCAGACATTCAGATTCTTTGGGTCCTGGGGAAGTGTGATCAGGACTTGGTGCTGCTAAGTTCTAGGCACAACAGGATTTACCTGCACCACATCAGATATGAGCTGACACTGTTCTTCAAATCTACATGGCTGGGCTAGCTTATGCCTTCCAGAATCAGGAAACTGCATTAGGGAGGGAGACACATGCCTAGCCATGGTGCTTGATACTGTAGCGGGGACATTTGGAGTAGCTGTTGGCTGCCAGCAGCTTTGACCATCCTTGCAGTGTTGTGGTGGAAAAGTTCCCATCAGAGGCCCTGCCCCTTACTACAGAGGCTAGGTCCCAATACAAGCCTGAGTCAGTCATCTGCATGCCAAAGCTTATGTTCTAAAGAAATGGAGGAGTCCATTCTGCTTGATGGTTTGGGGAAGGCTCCATCCCATATTCAGAATTATACATGTTGCAAGTTTCTGAAACAGCACCAGGCACATTGTCCAATGCCAATATTCTTGGTGAAACACACTGCAGTGACCATGTTCATCATGGTGGTGTCAATGGTGACATCTCTGGAGTAGGATTTGCATCCTGGTGCTGTTGCCTGAAATCCCACTTGTATGACCCCAGGGAAATTTCAAATCTAAATGAATCCTTTTTGCTTTGAAAGCAATAGGAGGCATCTAGCTGTTGAAGACAATGAAGACCACACATTAGTCATCCCAGTTCTTCCTGTTGTAGGAAGGAGTTTTTTCCCATCACAGGATATATGGAGTAAGCAATACATGGTCTGGAGGAGTTCAAGTCAAACTTCACATGGTGTGAGACAGACATCCTCCTCTTTCTGACAGGACAAATGTGCTGTCATTTTAGGCCTTTCTCCTTTTCTTTAAAGAGCACCCATTTTTACCTATGGACCCTTTTTTTTAACCACAGTTACTATCAAACAAAACATAATTATTTGAATTTCAAATCTTCAATTATAGAAAAAGACCAGATTTTTAAAGTACTGGATTTCTAGCTGCTCCCCTTTTACTCAACAAACCACAGACTGGTATTTCATCCTATTTTAGCTATGCATGGCCATAATGCAGCCACTGAGAGTCATCATGACCATGAGATCTACAGCTGATTCCCATGTACCTGTTGATTATTGCCACTCCTTCCTTTCAATCTTAATGGAGCCATTTGCTCAAGAATGTTAGTACATAGGATTAAGACTTTGATGTCTATTTTTAGTTGTCAACATGATGACATCTGGGAATAATATAACCCAAAAATAGAGGGAACACCTGTGGTCTATTTCTGCTTAATTTGAACTACTTTATTGTGGAACTTTGAGGAATGCAGTCACACCTTTAATTCAGATCTTTAATCCAGATGTAATCTGAACCACTCCTTCTGCTGGAAGTCTATAGAAGGACATGGAAAAAGGAAGCTTTCCCTCTTTCTCTGCTTGCTCTCACCTTGTTAGCACATCCATTCCTTCACTGACATTAGAGCCTACTTCTTTAAGATTACAGCATAATATGGCAGACAGCTGAGACACTCAGTCTAAGAACTGAGAAACTACTAGATTCTTCGACTTCCCATTCATTTCCAGCCATTGTTGGATTAGCTAGAACACAGGCTGTAAGCCATTCTAACAAATCCCCTTTTAATATAGAGAATAATTTTAAAACTTCTGTTACTCTAGAGGCCTGATAATACACCAGGCACATAGAGAGGACATTCTAGAAGAGTTTGGATCTCATAATAGTCTTAGCTTACTTACAATTTCTCCATGGCCATCTTCTCTTAACCGTAGCCTTCCTCAGGTGCTTTCTCACTTCTGAGAACTCAACCCTCCTCCTCCTCCACATCATCCATTCCTTGGCATGCTTTATTTCTTATAGTATTGAGTATGGATGTTAAGGAGAGGAAGTGCCATTCTTGGGCAGTGCTTATAAAGTGAGTGTTCAACTCTCCATGGGTAAAGTAGTGAAAGGATTCTAAGGAAGCAGAAGAAAATTCCCAGCTTTAGAAGGAGGAGGTACTGAATGGCTTCACCTGTGTCACAGGAGAGACTCCTGGAAAAGAAATCTCAGCTTCTGGTCAGTTCAGGGAGAATTTATGAGCCAGGAGGCAAAGGCAGTTCCGTGTGACATCAGGAGTCCCTTCTCTGGCAATTCTATTGTATCCTGGAGAGCAGAGCTCTTGGAATCTCCGGTGATGTCAATAGTGTTGTAGCAACACCAAGTGCCTTTAGTATGTTCATTCACTACCTATACAGTTTGCCTATAGACATGTTGTCAAGACTTAGGCATCTACTTGGGAGAGAGAATGGATTTCATGGAGATACCAGAGAAAGGCAGAAGGAAGCTCCTAGGTCTCACTGGAAAGAATGGAGAAATCAATGGTCCTGGGGAAGATGCAGTGAGTTCAGGGAAGGGTGTGGGGAGCTTTCTGGATGTGATGGGCTTGAGTCTTCCAGGGTCAATCAGGTACTGGGAACTTCTGGGAAACAATAGGCCTATCCTGCTTCTCTGGGTTCCTGAAGAGCAGACCCAGATCAAGGGTTCATGATGGTTAATATGACATAGGAATTGACAAGGATGTAGCCTTTGTGCTGGGGATCCTCTGCTCTCACTCTGAGTGGGGAAGGAGACACAGAGGAATTTTTAGATTTCAATACCATCATTGCACTTCACCCCCACTGGAGTCCTTAGGTTGTGTGCCAGCAATAACAGGGACGTGAGAGTGCCCTGGCAAAGCCTATCTTACTTTTCATCATAGACACATCAGGAGTGAGGCACCAAGTAATGTTGTCTTTCAGTGACACCCTAAGATTATGACTTCCCAGCTGTGGGTGGCACACAGGTCTCCAATTCAACCTAGAGAGCTGTCAGATTCAGTAGACCTGGACTGAGACTGTCCCCTTCCAAAGGATCTAGGTGTCCTGGGCTGCCAGTGAAGATGGCTTTGTGAATCTGTTGACTATGTTCTGCCGCTGTGTGGCTTCTCCATTAACATGAGACTCTGAAGCATTATGCAAGTGATTTGGGCATCCCTACTTACTACCTGAGTGCTTGTGAGAGTAGCAATTATCTCCAGAATTATGTCCAGGAAAATACAAGGCTAAGGGCTCTGAAGCTTGTGCTTCTTAGGTCACCCTGTGCAGGAAGCCAGGGGAAGCCAGGTAACCTCTGAGACACCCATCTCCCTATAGAAAGATGTGAGAACTGACATCCACAGAGGGAGAGACTCAAGTCTAGTCTTTCAGAACCAGCTAGCGCAAAGTCTCATCTTACAGTCACTTCCTGATCATCCTTTAGTGTGTCAGGATTGATTGAGATGAGGTAGTGTGTGTGGCAGGTGGTGTCCATTGACTTCTAGAATTGGTGATTACTGAGATACCTAACCTTGTCTAACATGGTTGTCAGTATGATATAACATCTGAATGGACATAGTTTACCCCACATCACTCATTTCTTCTGGGGTCCACCAAGTACATTTCTGAAGCCACAGTCTAGACTTCTGGTGAATATTCAATCCAGGCTGAACATGGTACTACCTCTTCATTTTAGGACTATTAGTAAATTCAAAAGTGTGAAGTGTGGCTCTGGGAAAGGTCTATGGTAAAGGACCCCTAATAATTCGTCCTCTTCTGCCCTTTGTCCACCTCTCTCATGCTCTGATGGATATTCTAATTTAAGCTGGCTGTGTCACCTTTTCTAAGGGCATGAGCATTGTCACAGGTGGCTCCAGATTAAAGAATTTGGCTTTCATGTAGCTCCAAGTGTAGTACCACAGCAGTGACACACTACATACTGTTCCCATGACTATGACACATTTGATTTTCTGTAAATGCCATTGCATATCTGTGTGTGGCCTCTCACTAGCCATTCATCTTTCTTCAAACTTTAATGCAGGAATGGCCCATCATTCTTCATGGTAGTTTTTGCTCTTATGTCTGAGGGCTCCTTTGGGAAACCCTGGTTCTTAATATCTCCAGCCTGACATGTCACTAGTTAACACACTTTTGGTGTCTATGATGGCTGGAATAAATTCTGCTGAAGTTCAGAGGTAATTTTCATCAACTATGGGAATTATCTTTGTTCTGACAAGACACCCACAATCTCCCACCACACTGACAGACTTGTGCATCCTCCACAACGTGCTTGTTGCTTTCAGTGGACTGAACTTTCCTCCCCACCATCCTTACTTAGTTACCTTAGAAACCTTTGTTCCTGTGTTATTGACTAAACGTTTCATGAGTTTGATGAGCCATTTCCTGGCATGTGTTTGGAAGTGAGTCTTCAACTTCCTGTACATGATGTAGTGAATATATCATAATAAAGCAAAAAGAGATCCCTGGGTTTGTAATGAGGAGGTGATGAAGGTCTTCTCTTGTGTTTTTGGGAAGGCTCCTGAGAAGGGCAATATGGCTTCCAGTGATTTGCAGAAGATGTAGTTTTTAGGTAGGTGAGGGCTACTGCTGGTGAATCCAATAGTTACTTCTCGGGATGAGCTTTTGTATTCTGGAGAATCCTTGGCATTCCCTTGATGTCACCAGTGTTGTGGGAACACCAGGTGACTGTGGGGTATTCTTCCACTGCCCATAGACATGTTGGCAAGACAGAGAAGGCTGCTTGGGTGACAGAATGGAGAACAAGGGGAGACCAGAGGGAGGTGGAAGGAAGCTGGGCTTCAGTCTCAGTATAAAACATGGAGCAATAAATGGTTCTGGGCAGGGCACAGTGAGTCCTAGTAAGGGGGTGAGGAGCTTTCTGGAGGAAGTGAAGCTTGAGCTGGGCCTTCCAGTAGTGGACCTCAGCATCTGTGAATTTCTGGGAAGCAAATGGACTTATCCCGTTTATCAGGGTTCCCTAAGAGCAGACCCAGAGTCAATAATTTCTGATGGTTAGTTTGGGAGAGCCATGAATTTTCAAACCTGAAGTGGCTTTTCTGTAAGATTCTTAATCTCATTCTGAGTGGAAAGGAAGGGCCAGCAGGAACAAAGTGGTGGCTAATTAGGTGTCCTTCTCTGGGTAGGGTGGTGCTGCACTTAATCCTCGTAGATTCTTTCAGTTTCCATGGGAGTAGGATGCCAATAAGAAGGGAAGGATAATCCCCTGACCATCCACCAAACTCTCAGACATTCAGATACTTTGGTCCTGGATAATGTGATGAGGACTTAGTACTGCTAAGCTCTAGGGACAATAGGACTTACCTGCACCACATCAGATATTAGCTGACACTGTCCTCCAAATCTACATGGCTGGACTATCTTATGCCTTCCAGGGCTGGGGTCTGCATTAGAGAGAGAGGCACATGCCTAGCCATGGTGGTTGAGGACAGATACTTAGCTCATGGGTACCAATTTGAGGATAGCTGCCCTACTCTTTAGGGCCCTCAGTGGGTCCCTAACATTTCCTCTTCCTTGGACTTCCTCCTGGGACTAGCATGGATTCTCCTGGTCCTATGTCATTCAAGTGTACAAGTTCACTTTGCTTTGTCTTCCTTCAGGGACTACTGGGAAGGCACCAACCCAAACCTCCACCTCCACTGAGCAGGAGCAGCAGATGACAAAGTTGGAGAAACTCACCCTTCAGCGACAGAGTATAACATACGAGCGAGTTGAACTGCATGGGATCCTGGGCACTTATATAGACAAGGATTTGCAGAACAGGTAGTCATTACATGCAGTTCTCTGCTGACCATCTTGACCCCACAATGTGTAGCTAAGCTTTCCTGAGGAACAGGAGGCTGAACCTCCAGGGTACCCTGGTGCCTAAACTACTTTTCCCAAGTGCACAGTATTTGGAACCTGGGTAGGTGTGAGATGGGGACACAGGCTATTCTTATTCATCCAAATGAAAAGCAGAGCCCGTGACCTGAATCACAGTTTAGTGATAGGGACATTAGTGTGTGAGCTCTCAACATGCATTTCAAGATGCCTTGTCAGGTGTTGGCTTGGGGGAGATGCTGCGTTCTGTGAGTTTGTGGTGAGTCTTTGTACTTGATCAGCAGATGATTGTGTGCTGAAGGCTCCTGGCAGCAGCTGGAGGGGCCTGGTCCATTCATCCATCTCAGTTTGTGGCTGGAAGACATGATGCTTTTTACTACTTCTCCATTGTCCTCCTCCTTATACTCTGAGGCCGTTCCAGCTCTCTGCATTTCATGGGCATCCTGACTGTATGTGGTGTGTTTGTGCATGTGGAAAATAAAGGCCTAAAGCTTTTCTTGGCTCCTCCTTATACTCTGAGACAGTGCAAACTCTTTGTATTTCATGTGAATCCTGATTTTATGTGGTGTGTGTGTGTGTGTGTGTGTGTGTGTGTGTGTGTGTGTGTGTGTGTGTGTGTTACTCCTGGGAGTCTAGAGTCTGTGGCAGGACTTGAGGATTTGCCATTTTCATATTTTCCCAGGGATAACAGTGATGACCTCAGAGAGCTCCACTTTGAGAAGCTCAGGTCTTGGCCACTTTTCTCACTTTGGTGGAACACTGGAATCCCCTGTGGAGTTTATAACGCCTTCCTGAAGTTGGGACTCCTCCCTGGAAATACTCAACGTATGCTCTGGTCCTCTGTGTATAAGGAGGAGTACCCAGGCATGAGAATCCCTGTTATAAAGACAGGAAAATGTCACCATAGGTTTCCGGTGGCACCAGTATGTGGCACAGACTCCTGGGGTCTCCTTAGAGAGATCATCTATAGCTCCAAGTCCACTGAAGGTGCTCATGTAGTCGTAGATAACTCCTTCCTCTTCTGGCCTGGGGATATGATAGGAAGTTTAATAAGCACCAGGAGGACCTATTGCATAAGTGCCAGGCTGTGTCTTCCATGGCACTGAGTAGTCCAGAGCATAGCCTGATTCCATATGATCCTTGAGGCCTATGTTCATGGGGTCCTTTTCTCCTGGGGCCATGCCCTACCACAGGCTGAATTCTTTTGAGATGCTGAAAAAGGAGCATAAGCAGGTGATGCTGGACTTACAGAAATTGCCCATGGAGATCAGTGACGGTGTGAACAAGGTCAAACAGCTGATTGAGGAGAATGTATCCTACAGGTATGTGCCTGATTTATCTTGGGAGGGACTGATTCTGCCATCTTTCTCTTTGACTAAAAGTGAGAGTTCTGGTTCTTGCCTGTCTGCCTCTTAGCAAACAGCCTGACATGTGGTCCCTGGTCTTGTGCCTCTTGGACTCAGTTTTGCTAAGTGTGAAAAGACACTGTTCCCCTCCAAGCAATGTCCTGCCAGCTTCAGGAGCCCCTTGATAAAAACAAATGGTTTGCACCATGAAGGGAGTGTCAGGTATCCTAGTACCTCTGGGGCTCTGACCAGGGCTTCCCAGAGCTGGT